GACCAGATTGGGACAATTGCCACTTGGCCAAAAGGAGGGTGGAGACAGAGATTACACACAGCAACTCATGCAACCACGCCCTGCCTAATTTGATTAGTCATTTTTAACGCCATCCAGGCAATGTGCTCCTAAACACGTTCATTCACCCTGGCTCCGCTGGCACCACCTAAGTCATGGATCCTCCCTTCTTCCTTTTCATTTCCACAGAAGCCCCTCAGAGCACACATAAGGTGGGTTCAAAATAAATCTTTGCCATGAAGGGGAAGGAGAATGAGCTTGAATCTTGACTCTGCCACTTGCTGTTTATGAGATTTGGGGGAAGTGACTTAACCTCTCTGAACCCATTTCCTCAGCTGTACACTGGTGATATGATATTAGGTCATTAACTATGAAACGTCCAATTTTGAATCAAAAGTGTAGTTTATTGTATCTCAAACAAGAAGCAGTACAATGAGTCAAAGTACACACCTAAACGGTGTTGCCATCTTAACGGTAGCTTGTTTGTGCCAGCAGCAAAGAAGCCTGGAGAGCGAGTGGTGATGAAATTGTGAAAGGTGTTTTTTACAGCTTATTGAATATTTTTCCTTGCAAGAAGTGGTCCAAAGTCTGGAAGAAGTGGTAGTCAGTTGGTGCAAGGTCTGGTGAATATGGTGGATGACAGAGTTTCTAAGCCTCTGTAGTTCGAGCAGCAATGTTTGTGCAACATATGGTCAAGTGTTGTCTTGCAAGAGGATTGGCCTGTGTCTGTGACCAATCTTAGCTGCTTAATCGCAAGCATCCCCATCATTTCGTCCAGTCGGTTACAATAGACATCCACTGCAATTGATTGACCAGCTTTCATGAAGCTGTAGTGGATAATACCAGCGCTGGACCACCAAACAGACACTATTAATTTTTTTCGATGAACGTTTGGTTTTGGACTGTGTTTCTGCACTTCATCTTTATCCAACCATTGTACTGAACACTTGTGATTGTCAAAAAGAATCCATTTTTCATCACATGTAACAATACAGTGAGAAATGGTTCACCTTTATGTCATGACAGCAAAGAAAGGCAAGCTTCGAGACACTTTCTCTTCTGATGCTCATTTAATTCACGTGGTACCTGTCTATCCAGCTTCTTTACCTTGCCGATTTGTTTCAAATGGTCCAGTATTGTTGCAATAGTAACATCAAACCTTGCTGCTAATTCACGCGAAGGTTGAGACGGATTCACTTCCACCACAGCGTTCAGCTTATCAGTATCCACCTTGGTCTTGGGTCACCCACATGGCTCATTTTCAAGATTAAAATCACCAGAGCAGAACTTCTCAAACCATAGCCATACTGAGCATTCATCAGCCACATCCTTCCCACACACTTTGTTGATATTTCCAGCTGTCTGCGCTGCATTGGTTCCATGACAGAACTCATATTCGAAAATAACAAGAATCGTTTACTTATCCATGATTCCACAAAAACTGCTCTAAAAAAATTTGTGAAAGATAATCACAAGCCAAAACATGATTTGGAACACAGACATGATGGCTAGAATTCTAGCAGCCATCTTGTGACCATGAACATTCTTGAGGAAGGAGAAAAAACACATAGTAAGGATGGTGGGTCAGAAATACAGAAAGCTCCCGAGATTCTGTCATACCATCTATCCCACCAGCCTTGAACTGTCCACCTCTGGATTCTTCCACAAGCAAATATAAAATCCTAATTTGTTTCAATCACTATATTCCAGTCTCTACGGGCAGCTAAAAGCAATCACTTAATGGGGCCTGCTCCTACAAGTACTCAAAACTCCTTGCCATCAACTGGGCTGATGCAGTGATGTGGTAAGGTAAGCTCCCTCTGACAGACCCTACACACTTGGGTTTTGAGCAGTCTCATGTCTAAGGACAATTCTGCCCATGAGTTAGCATCCATGAAAAACCCTGCATTCCACTGGGAAGAAAAAGCCTGTATGCACATTGGTTGTTTAATGAGGTCTATGGTGAGAACTGTGGCTTTAATAAAGTGACCCCACTCTGGTTCCATTAAAGACCAAGTTTTACCACAGAAGCACAGTCACACCTTAATTAGCACTTTACGAGCCTGAGTAGGACTGGCATGAATAGATCAAAATGCTGACACCATCCCTAGGCAAATCAAAGGAGCTCAGTGTCCCCATTAAGCCCAGTGAGTAGGAAAAGGAGCATACTTATTTGAAGAAAATATTTATAAATAGAAGCTAGTCCTTAAATCCTTACTTTCTAGGAAATATTAGGAATATAGTCTCAATTATATTTTTGGACCCTATAATCAAGCAAAGGTACCAAGTTGGAGAGTTAAATTACACCATCTGACTGCTATGGAGTCTTGGTGAAATGCTTTCAATTTATTTTCTATCTCATCCTTGTGCATCAGGATTTATTAGGCTCCTGGTACTGCTGAATTTTGGTTTCCAAACATTTTTACATCACTGAAACTTTGGCACCGACCCTCTTGTTCTCTTAATTTTTGGCCATTCTCCTTATTCAAAGATTAAATAAGAGCAACTAAATTGATAAAGTGATTCATTCTTAATGATTCCAAATGCCTGGCCTTGTGCTCAGACCTCCGTGAGATATTGTCACTGACAAAGTGTCGTGTAGGGAAGGGGAATTATCAAATATATGCCAGGCCTTCTTCTCCATCAACGTGGTGCTTTTACGTTAGCTGTAGAGGTGACTGCTGTACGTTAAGCAGCTAGAGGACAATACAGAGAGAAGAAAATGTTGTGTCCAAGAGGATGATAAAGACCCCAAGCTCCATGAGTGATTAGGAAGGAAACAGATCAGAATAGGAGCCAAGATTGTGGGGAGAAGCTTCATCTTAGAGGTCAGCTGCTCCTAGGGGCAGGGGGCGTCTCACATGCAACCACGGCATTGATGAAACCACCTCACTCAAATCTGATGCCAAATGGACTGTTTTCGTCATGGCTATTTTCTTTTCCACCATAACAATTTTCATATATTTTACTATACCTTCTTCAAACCACTATCTTCCGGTTCAAATGATCAACAGAGAGCCCCCACCTTCTTCCTGTACCCAGCTTTGTGAAAACAGCATTATGGTATTTGAGTATTTAAGCTACTTAGGCGATTTGAATGAACCCAGGTAATCACCAGTGATCACTTTTAACATCTTTCTTGGAAGAGTGACAAGTGAGACTAAACAGACCTTTGGTAAAAACTGAGACTTTCTAGAAAGTTCTTATTACTGGAATCCCTGGCTTCCCTCAAAGCTGGCTTTAATTCAGTGGGAAAGGATCGCCCTTTACCAAGAAACAGGTTGCACGGTGAAAAGAAATATGGGCTCTGGAACCAAAGCCATGTGAGCTTGGTACTGTCATTGACTCTGTAAATTCTGGCACATATTTCACCTTGGAGCCTCGGTTCCTGGTTTGTAAAATGAGAATAATAACATCTGTAAGAAGTCATGAGCTGAAAGTCTCCAGTGGAATTACTGGGTCAGAATAAATGCCCACACACAGCTCTACTGACCTGGTATTTTAGGAGAAAAGATTTCTGTGGTTTTTACTCAGTCATATGGAAAGGTAGTCCAATAACACATTCAGCATAAAGAATACATTTGCTATACTCAATGTACATACTTTCAACATGCTTACGTCCCATAGCTGCTCACATTGACCATTTTCTACTGAGCCCTCTCTGAGGCCAGCAGAGCTCTATTTGTAGAGAAGGCTACTAGCAGTCAGGGTACCCTTTCCATCCCACAACTATCTGTCATGGTAAAGACTCCCGCCACCAATGATCAGCAGGTGTGGGACTGAAGGCAATCAAGAGTTTTCTTTGGAAATAGCCCTACAGACATTCAATTTCCTGATAGTAAGCTTAAGGAAAAGTCCTACTTGGCAGCCTGCCTGCCGTGCGCATCATCTTTCTTTAGTAAACAAAACATGATTATGCCACCTTTGTGTTGTTAGAAACCCTAGAAGCTGTGTGTCCAGGCCAACTACATCTTTGGCCTTTCCTCCAGGGCAGGAGGATCTGGCTCTTAAAGACTTGTTGGCAGACCCTGTGCCGTTCCTGAATTTTAGCAACTAACCTCATCATTAGGAAATGGAGCGTGGTCTTTGAATGCAGTGGGCTCTGCCTATCAGAAAAGAAAGCAGCATTCAACTATCCAACAGAGGCTGCCAAAACATCTCAAAATATATTCGAAGAATCACAAAGTTGAAAATAAGCTTGACAGCTTCTGGAGTCAGAAGTGACTTCGGAGGGAGATACACAGAACAAATAAAATATTTAAGACACTGGGCCTGGGAGGTAGGGTGTATTTTCTACAAATATTAAAAATCAGGGCCATAGAACACTCCAGCACCATCTCACCAGCTATGCCATGGCCTCTGGGATAGGCTCTTGCCCTCAGAACGAATGAGTCGGGGCTGGCACCAAACCTCTCAACAGTGAAAGGGCCATTTCTAAACAGACTCCAGGAAACCTTGAAATACCAGCCAAATCTACTGTGACTTCCCCCTCTTTTAAACATTGCAAAACGTAACTTAGCATACGTATCTCTGAGTACAATGTTTCATTCCAAAAATAAAAGTTTAGAAAACACTATGTTTTAACAGTGAACAGTTCCTGAAAATTCTTAAATTTTCATCTCAAGCTTTACCTTTTTTTTTTAAACAAACAACCCCCTAGAAGTTACTTGTGGTGCCTGGTGGAAACTGTCCTTTGCTAGAATAAGTCATTATTCAAAACACCTGGTTGTGTATATGTCTCTTCACAGACAAGGCTGTTAAAAAGTGGCTCAATGAATAAATGAAGCTAGGAATATCTCTTCCAAACCACACGCCCATCCATGGCCATCCATGGCTCTTCAAGCAAAAACAAAACCCCTCCTGTCAGTCTAGACCCAGATCAACTCATCCCTGTTATAACCACCCGAGGAATACGACCTTCCCCACGCAGAGTCAAAAAGAGGCCAAACCTGGGAGTCTGTGGCCACCCCAAGTTCACTCACTTGTCTTCTGCGAAACTTTTTCCAGTAATAACGTTCTTCTCTTGGGGTACATAGTTCCAGTATTCTTCCACAATCCCAATGTGGTATGTTCTGGTAACTGTGCCAACCAGCCGGGCCAGACCCAGGAATGTGAGGAGGAGGATGCAGCCAGCCTGCTCCTTCCGAGGCATTTGTGGATGTAATTTTGGGCAGGTGGCCTGCGCGGGAAGACAATCCTGCTTAGTCCCTCCCCTCACTCGGCTCCTCCTTCTCAGGTAGCTAGGGGTTAGGACAGAGGCTGAGGACTTGTGTAAGCGAAGCAAGCTGGATGGGGGAGTTGCTATGACAACAAAACTTGTAGCAGCCATCCAAGAAATGTGTAAGTGGCTTATTTATTTACTGCCCGAGCCAAACAGGCCTGTTTCTGTAAGTTTCGGTACTCTGCTCTGACATTAGTCATTCATCTTTGCCAGGATGATAGTGTGACAACCTGAGCTGATGGCTTTCCCCCACCCATCCTTCTTCCTTTTTTCTCCACACCTATTACAGGAACATATTAAAATCTGCAAAGTGGGCTGGCCTGCGTGGAGCGTCAGGAAATATTTCAAGCACTAAAGAAGGCCTCGTTTCTGCTGGGAGGGCAGAGGGAGTGATATAATCACCCTCTAACATGTTTTATGAGGCTACGTGAAACAATCAACTCACATCATAAAGTTCGCAACAACATTGTAAATACCCACTAATTCTCCATTGGCTCATGGACCATCTCCCCCAAATTCTCTTAAATCCTGCCAGCGAAACTGAGAAGCTTGGCTGCTTAGTTCAGGAAAAATTTTAGAGGCCATCACCTCCAAACAGGGAGCTGCCTTTCTCAGGATGAACGAGAATGATAAGGGAGGCGCACCCTTCAGGCACACGAAGACAAAGTTCAGCAGAGGTCTTTGGGCCGAAAAGGGAGTGCCATTCTTGTGTGTGTTCTAATCTGTGTCCTGTGTTCTCAGTATTGAAAGAGACTTTGTTCGACCTTGGAAGAGCATCAGTGTGATCCCTGTGCAGAGTTTCTCTTGAGGCAGCAGCCATGGGATGAAGGACACAGCCTTGTGGGCTTTGAGGTTGGACAGACCTGGGTTTGAATCTGAGTCCCACCAGTTACTCCTTTAGTGGCATCGAGAAATCACCTAACCTCTCCTAGCCTCGGATGTAAAACAAGGATTGAGGGATTCTTAAGAAGATTTAAAAAGATGATATCTGCAGAGTGCCTACTACAGCCCCCAGCACAGGATGGGTATTCAATAAAATTAAAGTCCTTCCTCCCCATTCACACCCTCCAAGAGAGACTGCATTGTCCCATGTATGGAGGGACTTGTATTTCCACTGGCATTCTTGCACTTTCTGTCCACTGCTCTTTCCCAAAGTCCCATCCACCATGCCTTCCACCACTGTCAAGTAAGAGAACTCTTTTTCTTTAAATGGTAGACACTCTATAAATGTTCCATAGCAAAGGTTTTGAATTAACATCCATCTTAACTAAAAAAATACATTCTGAGCATTCTGCTTCATAGCCAGGCTCTTAACATCTTTGATTTATTGATTTGTTTTATGTCAAAGACACTGATAGAATAATTGCCATAGCGCTTTTCCCTGTAACTCAATCCCCTCTTCGATGTGGGTTTGAGAGCTTTGTATGAGTTTGGCACTTTAATAGCCGCTATAAAGAAAGACACACTGGGTAGACCTGAGCATGGGCCCAAGAGAATTAGGGAGTTAGGGGTTTGGGGAATTTGGAAATGTCTCAGATCAAACAGCTTTCGGTTTATATCCCAGATAAGCAAGCTATTTTGGGCCTATCAAAAACTTCATTAAGATACATTCCCCTCCCCCCAAATTCTTTTAGATAGAAGAAACAAGAGGTATAAGTGATACAGATGAAAAAGACAAAAGAATTAACTTTCCTACCCAAGATACTGAATGCATACAATGAAAACCCTGGAGAAGGCATTGCCTAAAGTCTAAAAATTAGATCTGCAGGAGAAGGGGCATAGGCAAGAAAACCAGAGTGGTTAGAGCAGACAAAGTAAATGCATTCAATCAATTTGTAGCAAAGAACTTGGTTACTGGGGGACAAAAGAAGGAAAGAGTGTACTGAAAATAGTGAAATAGGGTTCCTGGAAAGTTCTCTTACATTTTTCCTTAGTCTAGGACAATAAAGGTGCTACTCAAAGAGCATCTGAATTCCACAAAAAGCTAAAGAAAAGAAACTGGTGTAAGACAATGCAGTGCTCCTAGAACGCTCATTTCTAAAAACATGCAGCTACATACAAGATGTGTTTGACAATGTCTAAAAGTTGATTAGGAAACCTGAAAGTAAAAATGTTAATAAATACTTTCAACCCCATTAAATATTATTCAGACATAAATAAAGCAGAGAAACCCACCATTTATCGAGCATGTGAGATGGCCAGCCCAAGATATTTACTCTGTTCCTCTAAATACTCACCAGGTTTGAGATATGGTAAAGTTGATACCATACATCAATAGAAAAGAAACATAATCCTAGATTGAATCATAGTTCTCTGAAATATAGCACAGGCATACTGCAGGGATATTGTGGGTTTGGTTCCAGATCACTGCAATAAAGCAAATACCACAATAAAGCAAGTCACATAGATATTTTGGGGTTTTCCAATACATGTAAAAGTAATGGACTTAATGAACTATACGATAGTCCATTACGTGTGAAATAGTGTTATGTCTAAAATGTACATATCTTAATTTAAAAATAATTTATTGCTAAAAAATGCTAACGATCATCGGAGCCTTCAGCAAGTCATAATCTTTTTGCTGGTGGAGGGTCTTGCCTTGATGCTGATGTCTGCTGACATGTCGGGGTGGTGGTTGCTGAAGGTTGGGGTGGCTGCAACAAATTCTTAAAATAAGACAACAGTAAAGTCTGCTGCATTGACTGACTCTTCCTTTCACAAAATATTTCTCTATACCATGCGATGCTGTTTGATAGCATATTACCCACGGCAGAACTTCTTTCGAAGTTGGAATCAATCCTCTCACCCTCTGCCACTGTTTTATCCAAGAAGTTTATGTAATATATGCTTAATCCTTTGTTGTCATTTCAACATTGTTCACGGCATCTTCATGAGGAATAGATTCCATCCTTAGAAACCACTTTGTTTGGTTACTATAGCCTTGTAATATAATTTGAAGTCAGGTAATGTGATGCCTCTAGATTTTTTCTTTTGCTTTGGCTATTCGGGCTCTTTTTTGGTTCCAGATGAAGCTTACAATTATTTTTTTCTAGATCTGTGAAATATGATGTTGGTATTTTGATGGCGATTGCATTGCATCTGCAAATCACTTTGGAAAGTATGGACATTTTAACAATGTTGATTCTACCAATCCATGAGCATGGAATGTTGTTCCATTGGTTTACCTCATCTATGATTTCTTTTATCAGTATTTTGTTCTCCTTGTAGAGATCTTTCACCTCCTTGGTTAAGTATCATCTTAGGTATTTCATTTTCTTTGTAGCTATTGTGAATGGCATTGAATCCTTGATTCAACTCTCAGCTTGACTGTTATTAGTATGTGGAAATGCTACTGATTTGTGTATATTGATTTTGTAAGCTGAGACTTTGCTGAATTTATTTATCTTTGCTTATGCATAAGAAGCAACTCCTCATCTGTTCAAGTTTTATCAAGAGATTACAGCAATTCAGTCACATCTTCAGGCTCCACTTCTAATTCTAGCTCTCTTGCTACTTCCACCTCATCTGAAGTTACTTCACTCACTGAAGTCTTGAACCCCTCAAACTCATCCAGGAGGATTGGAATCAACTTATTCCAAACTCCTGTGAATGTTGATATTTTGACCTCCTTTCGTGAATCACAAATGTTTCTAATGGCATCTAGAATGGTGAATCCTTTCTGGAAGGTTTTCACCTTATTTACTTTGCCCAGATCCATCAGAGGAATCACTATGGCAGCTATAGCAATACAAAGTGTATCTCTTCAATAATAAGACTTGGAAGTTGAAATTACTCCTTCATTTGTGGGCTGCAGAGTAGATATTGTGTTAGCAGACTTGAAAACAACATTAATCTCCTTATACTTCTCCATCAGAGACCTTGGATGACCAAGTACATTGTCAATGAGCAGTAATTTTTTGAAAGGAATCTTTTTTTTCTGAGGAGCAGATCTCAACAGTGGGCTTAAAATAGTCAATAAACCATGCCATAAACAGATGTAGTAGCTTTGTTTTTCCATTTATAGAGCACAGGCAAAGTAGACTTAGCATAATTCTTAAGAGCGCTAGGATTTTTTTTTTTTTATTTCAGCAAATTATGGGTGTACATACGTTTAGGTTACGTGTGTTGCCCTTGGTTCCCCCCCCACCGAAGTCCGTGTTTCAAATATGTCCATCCTTCGGGTAGTGCGCATTGCACTCATTGTGTATACAAATACCCTAGGATTTTCAGAACAGTGAATGAGCATTGGCTTTAACTTAGAGTCACCAGCTGCATTATCCCCTAACAAGAGACACTGCCTGTCTTTGAAGCATTGAAGCCAGGTGTTGATTTCTATCTATGAAAGTCCTAGATGGTATCTTCTTTCAACATAAGGTTGTTTTGTCTATGTTGAAAATCTGTTTAATGTAGCCACCTTCACCCATGATCTTAGCTAGACCTTCCGGATAACTTACTGTAGCTTCTACATCAGCCCTTGCTGTTTCACCATGCACTTTTATGTTACGGAGATGGCTTCTTTCTTTAAACCTCATGAACCAACCTCTGCTAGCTTCAAACTTTTCTTCTGCAGCTTCCTCACCTTTTTAAGTCTTTATAGAATTGAAGAGAATTAGGGCCTTGCTCTGGATTAGGCTTTGGCTTAAGATAATGTTGTGGCTGGTTTGATCTTCTAGCCACCCTACTAAAACTTTTTCCATATCAGCAATAAAGATGTTTCACTTTTTTATCATTCATGTGTTCACTGGAGTAGCAATTTTCATGTCCTTCAAGAACATTTCCTTTGTATTCACAGCTTGGCTTACCGGTGCAAGAGGCCTAGCTTTCAGGCTATCTTGGCTTTCAACATGCCTTCCTCACTAAGCTTAATCATTTCTAGCTTTTGAGTTAAAGTGAGAGATGTGCAACTCTTCCTTTCACTTGAACATTTAGAG